CCGCCGAGCGCAGGGCAGCGCGCCGGGCTGCAGAGCATCGCTGGCAAGCGCCCGGGCCGAGGCGGTTCCCACGCGAGTCCGTGGCGCCCCGCAGGAAACCGGCCGAAGGTCCCATTTCTGCAGCCGGCTTGCAGCTCCGGCAATTTAATTACGGAGAAGGTGGGAAAAAGCTGCCTGTTGCGGCACTAGCTCGTCCCTGGATGGATTTGAATGCCGGCTGCATCCACCCCTTAAACTAGGCTGCCTAGATCCTGCAGAGCTGCTGGAGAGCAGGAAAAAATAATCCCAAAATCTCCCAGTCATGTGCTCAGGTGGACATCGATGGACAGATGAAGCGACAGCAACTTCGGAGATCGGGCAGATGCTGCCTGGCTGCGCTAGGATTTTGGGTGCAGAATAGCTCAGCTCCATCCCCATAAAGCATCTGCAAGGTGCAGGAGCAGCTACTCCTTCCCTTGCAGCTCCTAAAGGCCTCGGGCATTGGGTTTCCCCTGGTTTTCTCCCCAGTCACCTGGGGGTTTTTTAAGCTATCTTGGTTGCTGCTCTCCTCCAGCTTGGTCTCCTGTGTGGGAGCAAGCACACCAAGAGCTCCGTTTGCTTAACCCCCCCCCTGCACAGACACAGCAGTGCATTTAGCCTGCGCTTGGCTTTCGGCTCAGGGGTGCTACAAGTGCACTCAAATATTCTCCCAAGCCAGGGAAACGCACTCACTTTTGCACCTCCCATAGTTTGGGGTCCAGCAGGTACTTCATCATATCACTGTGCAAAGCTTTGGTCATTGTCTTCAATATTTAATCTGCTGCCGTGAGATATCTGCCTCCAAGACGCTAAATAAATAAAGCTACAAGGCTGCAGAAATCATCTGGCAGCTCAGGCTGCAGGTCTGGGGGGAAGCTCTCTCCATTCTCCAAAAAGGAATCAGAGGCATTTAATCATCCACAAGTTACTTCGAGCATATTTTTTGGTGTGTGTTTTCTTTCTTAAATGAAAAACCTTCCCAAAAACCCCCAAGCTTAAGCCGGGCACAGAAGGAGAGCCAACGCTATTAGGAAGCTGCATTTTCATTCCTACCAAATGCTCCTCGTGCAATTCACCCGGCTTTTTCCTGGAGGAGGGAAAGAAACCTCAGCGTTGGGATCAAACCTGCCCTTGGACACCGGCACGGTGGCCGGCTTCGTTGCGGCCAAGCCTGGCAGGCAGCCGCGCTCCCACCCTGCGGTGATAAAGCAGACGAAGCCTCCGATGCAATAAACCTTCAAGCAATTTCTTTTTCCTCCCCTCCAAACCGCGTGCCGGGGTAAGAGGTTGGGCCGAATGGAGCCGAGCGGCTTCCCCGTTTCACTGCAGCGCTGCTTATTCCCGCGCCGGAGTTGCTTTACGCTCCCGTACCGGCGTGGAGCGTGGGAAGCGGAGCCGCGCGAGCCCTTGCGGGGCCAAAGCAGAACCAGGCAGCAGCTGCAATCAACCCCCCGCCGACCCGTCTCACTCAGAAACACATTTTTCCGGGCAATTAAAAGCTTTTACACCTCAGGCCATCACGAGAGGGATGCGCGAGGAAGCCCGTCGCCTCCCAGCTCGCACTCGGAGCCGGCAGCGGATGCTTCAAGGTGCCTTGGAGGAGCGTCTCAAACCACCGCAATCAAATATGACCAAGGGAGGGGGGAAAACCAGCCCCTTTGCTAAGCTAGCCTAAAAAAAACACCAGCAAGCCAAGCTCAAACCTGACCCTCTGCAACCTCAGCATTGATACCCTGCTCACGCCAGGGAGGGGAAAAAAAAGCCATCATCCAACAGTAGAAAATAACCCTGGGCCTGAGCAAGATCACTATTTTTAGTGTGAATTGCTGATATGAAATGCTTATAAAGCCCAGGAGCCAGATTTTCTCCCAGCTGCCTGGGAGAGATTTTTCTCCTGGGTGCCTAAAAAACATCTCTGTGCACCACTGACCTATAGGTGACATCGGCCTCAGTCCTCCTACACACCCAAAGCAAACAGAAGAGATGAGCACCAAGATATCCCAGATCCCTAAAAATCTCTTTATTTGATATCCTGGGCAGAGAAACAATTCGCAGCCACGGGAAGTCCTCCAACACCCAAGTTTCAGTTGGAAAGCCGGGAGGGAAACGATTGCACTAAGTGATGACGTTAGGGCAGCACGGTCCTCGCCCAAACAGGCGGAAAGGGCTGAACTGATTTGCAGCACGGCTCCAGAAACATCGATCCCAGGGCGATTTTCCAAGCACAAAGCAGATCGCCAGCGGGAAAGGCCGCTTGGGCATTTTCAAGCGCAACCTGCTGCGGATCGATAGCGCCCGCAGCGAGAGCCGCCTCCTACGCTTGGCCCTTGGGAATAACGCAAGCACTCACGGTTTCCAAAATCCCTGCTTCTTCCATAGGCGGGGAGACAGCGCATCCAGCTCAGCCTCCGGACAAAGGCATCGAGCACAGGTTTATCCGTGCTGCTTGAGACGAAATCCCAGCGAGAAGAAAAACCTGGAGAGAGAGAGAAGGGGGGAAAAAACGCTGTTTGGTGGAGTTTATCCATCCAAGAGCACCGTCAGCAGCGCTGTACCCAGGGCAATCGGGGTTCTTTGCCATTAATCCCAGGCCATATCACACGTGCAATGTGATTCACAGCTGCCGACTCTGCACTGTTCCTTCCCCATCTCCACTTCCCACCTTCCCACCAAATCCAAGAGGGCAGATAGAGCATTGCCAGCACCCAGCCCACCCCGATGTTCCCATCTCGTCTCCCACAATCCCTGCGGTTGTTAGAAATCATCCGGCATCCACTGAATATTTAGGCTTCCCAACCTACAGGCATGCTCTGAAGTCCAAGGAAAGGACGAGACAGGCAGGAGTGACGCGCTCACAGCTGGGTGCCCTCGAGCCAAAAAAGTGCTCTTTGATATCTAAAAGGGGCAGGAAAAATTAAATAGCCTCAAAACTCCCCAAAATTCCAACCGTTAAAAGAAAAAATAGCAGCCAGTATAACAAAACCTCCTTTCCAAAAACCCTTTATGCACTGGCATTAATTGCACCCTCTCCCTCTCTTAAATCATTATCCCTCACAGCAGCCTTTCCCACGCTGAAAAACCAGGGAAATAAAGGTCTTTTCTATCTCTTGGCTTCGGGAGCTTTATCCATGCTGACAGTTGTTGGAGCTGGTGCTGATGCAATTATCTAATCAGGCCCTTCCTCCGGCCGCCAGCGCGCACCGAGGAAGAGGAGACGGCAGGTCCCCTGTGCAGGATAACCTAAACCCCTGCCCTCCCCGCCCTGGACCACGTGAAAACGCAGCAAAATAACAAAAAAAAAAAGGGATGAGGTTAGGAGCCCGGCTGCACTGGGACAAGCACAGCGATTCCCCAGCACAGCGGCCGGCCCAGCAAACAGCAGGGGCAAAGCCACCGCTGGGTTCCCCCCAGGAGATTTTGCAGCGAGGGACCGTAGAAGCGGAGCGTGCAAGTCGCAGCAAGCCCACCAGGTCCCCATCGCGCACACTTGGTTTTGCATTTTATTTCAAGAACACCAAATTGAGGGGTTAAAGCTGCTTTTCCCACCAGCCACAAGCTTCCTCCAGAGCAGTGTCACCACTTGGACTTGTCCTTGCCCTAACAGAAACAAGGGGGGCAGCTCCCCGGGAGCCCAGCAAGACAGATGCAAACACAAACCCACCGTCCGGTATTGCTGCCAGCCTCCATCCTGCAGATGGCATCTTCTCTCCCCCCGCACCCCCCAAAAAAAATATCAGTGCTGCTTTTCTACCCAGGACCAGCATGCTGGTGGGGGCAACTCCAACATGCAATTGGGAATGCAACCAGCCACCGGGCCAGACAAGGTGTTTTTCCAACAGGAAGCACACCATCCATCCATCCCATCGCCCGCTCATCCTCATTGACCACCAATAAATCTCAGCTTCTCTCTGGCCTGCTGCTCCGCGGTGCTGAGGTTGCGCCCGGCGACACTCTGAGCTCTCAGAAATCGCCCGACGCTTTTGTATCGTGAGATGCCTCGTGAAAAACAAAAAGGGATTAAAAGTTGCTCAATACAAAAACCGAGATTTAGCAGCTACATCCAGCTGATCTGGACCTTTGGTGCTGCACCTGGCAGGTTTTTGTTAAGAGCCCGCTTCCGGGCTCTTCCACCTTCTCCCTGCTACCTGTTGCCAAATTCATCGGGATGAAAAGAGCCAAGAGGAGACCAGGGCCTGTTGCAAAGACGTCCACAGCTTGCAAGAGCAGGAAGCAAGGTTCACAGAAGGGATTTGCAAAAATCACCTTTTTCCCCTCCCTTCCCCCTCTTAAAGCAGTGGCAATTGGGCCCAGTGAGAAGAAAAAAATAAATCAATAGAAAAAACATTTTTATTCATTCCCAGCAGCAAGATGCCACTCAATTTCCCTACTTGAGACGCATTTGAGCCCTGCAGCAGCTCCTCACCTTCTCCCGGCGCGAACTCAAGTGCTAACATTTCACCCGCCCGGTTCCCCGCCGGCCGCTGTCAGGACTGATCCTTTTCACTTCCTCCCTGATCGACTTTGGAGCTCTTAATGCAAGAGCGTTTAACGAGATGAACTTTCCACGGCCAGGTGCAACACCAGGAAAAAGAACAAACCTTCGCTCCGACGCAGGGAATTTTTCATCTCACTGATGAGCACAGCGGTTGGGATGCGGGAAAACGACACAAAAAGGACTTTTCCTGGGGGTTGCAGCAGCCACACGCTCCCGTCGCACATTCTTCATGCATCGTGCCCACAGCGGCCACTTGCACATTATTCAATTTGGCCAACGTGCCCCTAGTTGCCGTGTAAAAAAACCCCATCCAAATTTCAGGCTGCAGCTTTTTGCCCCCAAATTGGATTTGGTGGGCAGCACACTTGGCCCAGCCAAACGGGACCTGCCGACTCGCCACAGGGCGGATGGGACTTGGGGTGCCCCACGCTTTAACCCCCTTCTCCCTCTGCAACAACCGCTCAGAGGGCTCCAAAATGCAGAGGTTTGCACCCAAAAGGGACCACCCGCACCCCAGCTCTATAACCCATGAAATAACGGGGGGAAATCCCAGCCAAGCTGCCTGCAAGCAAGGAGGGAAACAAAAATTACACAGGGGGGAAGTAGATCTGCTGAGCAAGAAGAGCGTTTTGCAGATATTTTCTGGGTTAAAAGAGAAAAGAAACAACGTTTCAGTGGTTTGCATACAAAAGGCCGAGAGAAAGAGTTGTCTTTCTCTGCTGAAAGCATCTCTCACAGCAGCCTGCATTTGCACAGCTTTCTCTGCAGCCCTTGGGGTTGGAAAAGCAAAGCTTTGCATGGGAATAAGCTGCTGCGAGGAAGCATCTCTGGAGCACTTGGCAGATGCAGAAGCCGTTTCGAACCTCACTTAATATTGCACCTTCGGAAAGGGGCCAAATTAAGCCAGTGCAGGAATTGAGAAAGGGTTTAATTAGCTCCCGCTGGGTTCGGGCCCAGCTCATTCATTCGTCAGCAGCTAGGGAGGGCCAGCAAAGCAGATTTGAGGCAATTGTGATTTGTAGCCACTGTAAAAGCATGCGGAGAGCATCGCTGCAGTCTTTTTTTTAAAAAAACACAGCAAACAGCAGCCAGAGCCACGAGAGACGTTTACAGACCCAGTGGCACCGCAAACGTCATCCGGATCGAGCTTGCCAGGGCTCACGAGCCTTAAGGGCACCCAAAAAAGGGGAGGAAAAAAAGACCACCTCCTCCCTCCCCACGCAAGCAGCCAGCCTCCAGCCGAGCTCCTGCAACCCGCTCCACGGCTTGGAGGGCAGCTTCCCCAATAGAGCTTTTGGCCAGCAGCGGGCACACCGCCCCAATTCCCCAGCCCAGGAGCAACCCGCAGGCATGGGGTTTACCCAGGCAGCAGCTTCATGTGCAATTACCTCGTCAGCCCTATTAATATCAATTAGGGCTCTGGAGTTGCACAGAGGAAAGGCAAGAGGCAAAGGATGCACGCTGCAACGTGGGAAAGTCCCATGAGATACCGAGGATTTCGCCTCCCATCAGGAGGATGGTCAAAAATTGAGACTGGGACCCAGCAAGGGGGAGGAAACCTCCATCCTCGGAGATATTCAAGCTCGCCGAGGCACAGACACTGCCTCTCTCCGGCATCAAAAGCATCCGGAAGAAGCTGAGCATTTTCCAGTTGCTCGCACAAAGCTCGTCAGGGGATTTGAGCTTCCCCAGAGCTATTTATACACCACCCATTACGTTTGCATTCAGCCCATGCACTTAATGATGCAGAGCTGGATAGGTCCTCCAAGGCCCTCTAAGCTGATCTCCCAGGGAAAAGGTGACACAAATGCACCTATTTCAGAGCTGCAAAGACCAGAGGAGCTATCTCAGGGTTGTGCTTGATGTTAGCCTACCCAAGAAAACCCTGGCAGAGCCACATCTGGTCATTGCCCTGCTGGAAACTGATGCCAGAAACCCCACGCTTGCAACCGGAGCGGGTCTTGCACGCTGCAAAAGCCATGCATGCTGCTTTGAGCATTGCAACACTGAGATGGGGGACAAACCCCAAACCTGCCCACTCCCAGATGCTTTTTTGGGGAGAAAGAAGAGAACAGCCACGTTTCGCTTCCTCGCCCGCCACCCCTTGCATGTTGCTAGGACACCTGCGCGAGGCTCCAGCAATTTTGGGCTGGAGATGTGGCAAAGCGCAGCAGGAAGCTGCAAAAAGGAGAGGAAGAAATAAAGAAGTGAGGTGCTGGGGGAGAGATACAGCACCCTCGGGGCAACACCAGCATGGGCAGGACAGGTAACAGCTCTCGGATAAATGCTTAACCCCCCAAAAATCCAGCATCAATGCTAATTGGGGCAAGATCCAAACCATGCCCTGCAGCCTCCCAAACTGAAGCTCAAAGCAGAAAAATTTTGCCCAGAGCCAGGGAAGAGGCTTTTAACTAAGAGACGGGTCATGCAACCCACATCCAAAGTGTCCGCGCCGCTCAGGCTTTCAAACCCCTAAATAATAATTAAAACCGAGCCTGGTGTTGAGCCCACTTCCATCTGACATGGCAAAGCAAAGGAAGGAGAAGGCAAACAAGGAGATGGAGGGGACCTGGGCCCTGCAATGATCCCCCAAGGCACCTTGCAGGGGAGCGGGTGGGCGTTCAGAAACTCAGAGGACACGTCAGCAGGAGCGGCATGTAAAACAAGCCAGCTTGCATTGGTTTTGTTGCTTAAGTCTCCAAATAGCTGCCTAGATCCATGCAGAGGGCATTTTGGCACCAGCATTCGCTGCCAGGTGTGAAATCGCCCTCCTCCCTGGGATTTGGGGTGGCTCCTTCTTTAATTTGCAACCAGCCACCCTCCTCCCAGGTCAGGGTTTTCCTTCCCCTGCTTATTCCAGTGCAGCAGCAAGCAAAACCCCATGCATTAGTCCACCAGGGTGGGTTTTTGCTTTGGTTATTTACTCCCCTGTTGTTTTCTCCCCTTGCATGCAGAAATTTATGACTCCTGCAGCAGCAGCAGCGCACAGCTCATCGCTGCTGCCCGCAGCTCAGGAGCCAGAGCAGCAGTTTGACTCAGCCATAAGGGAGGATTTAAAAAAACCCCATCCCCAAGCAGGTTTGCTCCCCCATTTAGCCTTTCCCATGCCCTGCCTCTGCAGCCCACTTACCGGAGCTGCTGCAGTCACGCAAGGACCCTATCGCAACAGGGACACTGCGGCACCAGGCTGCTGGTTTTCACCCCACAAATAGGCTTAAATACATGCTACAGATGTGCCCATCAGCATGCTGCAAACACGCAGCGCTCCCTTAGTCATCAGCTTAAGTCCACACAGCTCTTGCTCGGGGCAAGGAGGTGACTTCTAAAGCACACAGTGAACCAAAAACCACATTTCTAAAGGGGCTATTGAACACACACATCCTGCAAGGCCAAAAAGTTAAAAGGAGAAACCCACTGCCCAGAGTTTTGCAAAAATTTGCTACAGCGCTCCCCACCTCCAAACCTCGCCCAGGTAAGAGACCACCGTTTGGAGCCGGGGCCGCAGCCCCACGCGTCGACTCACGTTCGGCAAACATGACACAAGCCAGAGCCACGCGTCCTCCAGCCACCCTGCTTCATCTTCAACACCTGATGCACCTCTGTGAGGAGAGCAGCCCAGAGGAAAGAAAAGAGCTGTGGGCTGAGCACCCATTAAATAACCAACCGCCTCAACCTGGGAAACACAGAGCAGCTGCAAACTGCAAAGCCCAACGGGGAGCTCAGCTGGGCTCAGTTTAAAGCCCATGCAACACCAGCATGGGATCAAGAGCAGAGCAGGCTGCAATGAGATGGAGGAACGCGTGCAGGGGAGCTGGGCGCTTGCAAAACGAGCCCGTGCACGCTTGCACGCACGCTACCGGTCTAAGGCAGCCTATTTCTGGGGCTTTTAGAGTCAGAGATGTTTTATCCCCAAATTAATTGCAAGCAGCAGTTTGGCAAAGGCTTCCCCCTAGGGTCCTTCCACCTTGGCGAAGGGCAGAAAAACCCTGTGGAGCGGCCCCCTCCCCGGCCAGCAGCTTGGCAACGCTGTGCGGCACCCACGCCGACATTAGCACGGGGCATCGCCCGAGGGAGTTAATGCTGCCGAGCCGCAGGGCCGAGTATCCGGGCCCCGCTTGGCGCCACGGAAAAGAGCTCCGGCGGCTCCCCGTCATCTCTGGATGGGAGCTGGAGCTGCCGACAGATGTTTCCCCGGGGATCCAGCTGTGTCAGGCGGCCTTGCCTTGCTGCGCCCCAACGGGCGAAAGCTGGGCTTGACCCACGAGGGAAAAGCCGTGCAAAAGCCGTGCAAAACTCGGCACCCCGAGGGCAAGGCCAGGGTTTTCCCGCGCTGGCCCGGGCCACGCCGCCAGGAAAGCCAGGCTGAAAGCGGTTCCTGCCGTCCTGGAAAACGCAACAGGAAAAGCAAGGTTTTCCCCATCCGCCTGTTACAATGCCTTTTCCTTCACTCCCGTAGAGCCGACGACAGGTATACAGCAGCGTCCGCAGAGAGGAAGGAAGGGGCCGTGGCTGGGGGAGCCCAGCGCATCCGCATCCGGAATAGCTTTGGCACCGGCAAGTTTGCATTTCTCCGAGCAATAAATACATCTGTTCTCCCTCACAAGGCTTTCCTTACCAGGAGTGATTTGTTTTTTCCCCCTCTCGTTCAAAAAGAAAGAAAATTTCCCCCTGGGGTGCATATCCCTGCAGACCACTGACAATTCAGTGGCCGGATCAGCCAAAAGCACAGATAACACCCGCGCCCCCATTCCCGCCCCAGCCGGGCTGCTTTGTTTTGGCTGTCAGGCTGCATGTTCAGTTCCTTGCACGGCAGTTGACGTGACAGCGAAAATAGCCGCTTCTTCAAAAGTCACTGCCTGCTTTTTCCAGCCGGGGGAAACCGAGGCAGGGGACACCGAGGTGATGCGGTTGGCCCTGCTCGGCCAGGCCTCCTCCGGCAAGCATTTCCCAGCCCCAGCAGGCTGCGTCCCCATTGCTCTGCCGGATTTTTAGGCAATGCTGCCATCGAGTGGTCCAGGCGCGTCCGCAGCCGGGATCCGGGTGTGGGTCCGGGCCTCCCACGGCCTGGACCACTGGACCGTCCTCCCGCAGGCAGCCCGTGAGAGGTCTCCTCTAGGACCTTTAGGAGCCTTTCGTTCCGTATCGATCGGCGCTGAAACGGGGTTCAAACGCTCAGTCCGACTTACCGTGGCGCTGGGGCCGTGCACAGAGCTCAGCTGCGCTGTTCGGACCCAAACTTTTCCGCAGGGCCAGTGTGGAGGATCCAGCGATTGCACAACGGGAGGCTGCCGGCTCAGCACCTCTTCCTCCACCCATTTCGGAGCCTGCACCCCGAGAATATAATTCAGGAGCAATCGAGGAGCATCCCTCTAGCAAGCTGGAGGTACAGGCTCATCTTTAATAGGCAGCCTTTTCTCTCGTAACCCTTTCCTGGCGCTGTGCGGGCTGCCTAGTGCTCACTCTGCAGCCCGAGAAAAAAACAGCCGTCCTGGCAGGCAGCGATGCGGTTGTTGGTGGGTTTTTTTTTTTCCCCCCACGCTTGGCAGTTAAACAATACTGGAGGAGTCTGTTAAAATCACCCCTGCCTCATGGATTTTATAAACCCGGGCTGTGGGAAGGCACGAATCTGTGTTTGCGGCTTAATTGGATCCCAGCAGCTTATTCATGAGAGAACGGGACTTGTTCGCTGAGCGGGTTTCACCGACGGGAACCGTATGCCCTTGCTACCGATGAGCCCTTAAGCGAAACGTCCTGTTTGCCGTGGTGGGAAGCCGATCACATCGGAGCGGGAAGACCTTTCCCTTGTCACAGAAGTCAAATATTTGCTGTAGCCATCGGGGATACGAAGGACTCGCCAGCTAAGGACGCACGCTAGTAAAGCCACGGGGAGAAACACCAGCACCGTCCGCCAAGCGTTATTTTGGAAAAGCTATATCCGGGCAGGTCTGGGCTTCATGGCACGGAGCAGCCGACGTCACCGTTAGCACAAGCGTAC